TAAAAAAAAGTAAAACGGTCATAATTATTAAAGTGAATTACGCTTTTGGTCCATATGGCATGTCAAAAATTAAGAGTACTGTTCCTGTACGGTATACGGTTCATATAGTATTCAATTTTTGTTGGGTTTCAAAACAATTTGTAACCTTAAAACACAGTGAATTTTTTTTCGTTAAATCAAATTTAGAAAGCTTTTCTACTCTAAGCCGAATTTAATGATGCATTTAATTAAATTCTGAACAAATCATATGGTGTTCAGAGTTGTACCTTTCAGATTTGACGAGGATTTTGATGGAGCACTTAGAAACCAAAGTAGGTTTCCTCTATTGGTGATCCACACACAAACAAGCTTTTGACTTCCACTGGGTTCTAGCCCAAAAGCCCTAAATCTGTATTTGTTTAACAGAAAAGAACAGATTTAATTTTTGTTTTTCTCTGACAGCTAAAATCTAAAAGATTGAATCACTGATGATCTTTAGCTTATCACCTTATTTATATGTACTAAAGTTATAGATGGACTATAACTTAAATAAGGTTACGTAATTATTTGTAATCTGTATATAATTATCTTAAACTTTAATCTACATTACATTAATAAGTATTTAGACCAGAAGTCTTAATTACAAGTCTTAAAGCATAAAGTACTATTAATTTATACAAGAGATTCAAAAATCTCTTAAGTACAAACTATTATGCATAATGTACAAATGCTTAAAACATACCATTTGTTTGGTCAAATTTTCATATTTAAGTAAGTTATATTTACATGAAAAAAGATATGTTTGGTCTTCCCAAAGTTGTTTGACAATTTGTTTGTTTCCTATTTTTGAACCTAAAAACAAATTCAAATTTTTTTTCTCTTGAAGTAAATTGAAATTTGAAGCAACAATATCAAGAAGGGTTTCAGATCATGCATGTACCCCACCCCAACTCTTCAACTTTATATGGGTTTAGAAACTCAACATGTATGCAATTATTTTTTCAATCGATCTTGCTAATACATCATATTAACATTTAACTTTATATATTAGTTGACTTGTAAAATAACCACATAAACTCATGATTCAAGACTAAATTAATGTTTCAAAATTGTGATTCACCTGTGCTGCATCGTGCGGGTACACCACTAGTATAATTATATTTATTTACAGATTATATTTAATAATTATCATAATTACGCTTTAACACATATTTTCATAACTATTCTCCAATAATAATCATTTTAACAATCACCATGATTTAATTTGGGTTTTTGAAATAGAGGCAAATGTATTTTTAGTGTGCGATCCTATAAATTTACATACTTGTTGGCAATATCCATATGTGACACGTGTCGTGAGCATATAATAACTAGTAGTTTCTTATGGTCATGGTCCCTCTCACTAACAAAGTTAACAAAAATCCGTTTACCCGGTTAACTCATGGGCATTTTGGTCCTTTTACATCCTTTTTTTTTTTGTCTTTTTTCTATTAAAAAGTAAATATATATTATACATAGATTATATATTTTTATATTATATCTTTATAATGTTATATATTTACACACACAATACCATACAATTGCTTGAGAATTATACAATTAATGCTTTGAAGTTAGTTTTTTTTATAAACAATTTTTTTAAAAATTAATGTAACCATTTTAATAATTTCAATTATGGTTTTTATGCTATATTATAAGCATATAATATAATTTAATTATTTTTATAATAATTATAAATTAATTAATATAATATGAAAAAGATATTAAATTGAATTATATAATATGTTTTTTTATTTATTACGAAGAAAAAGACAAATGAAAGAGGTGATAAGAACCATGACCATATGAAATTGAAAGTCTAATTTCTAATAAAGAGATGAAATTGTGAGAATTATAACAAACATTTTGTTCTTATATGGAATTTAACAGCGTCTAAAAACGTGAATATATATATATATATATATATATATTCATACTTTTGTAACGGTTACATTCCATATAAGGATAAAACGTTTGTTGTAACAAAGACCATAACTTATTGTAGATAGAAAAACATGTATTGTTTTATCAGCAACAAATACTGTCATTATGTAAAATGTAAAGTTTGAATGAAAACTATGAATATAATTACACTTTTGTTCATGGTTAGAAATGCACATGGGTCGGGTCGGGTTGGACCGGACAGTTTTAAGTCATCTGAACAATCTTAAATAATTACAACAGTTTTTTAATCATAAAAATGTAACTCGTTCAACCATCTTTGAATTTACAACCCAATCCAACTTATTACATGTCAATAAATCGGAAATTATTATATACAAATTTTATTTTTCAGATTCAAATGATAATTGTAAAAAAAAAAGCTAATAGTTATTTATTTTTTGGATTAAAATGACAATCACATGATCATAACATGACAAACACCTTGTGATTGTCATTTGAATCTGAAAAATAAATAACGGTTAATTAAAATGATGGTATTCTTTTGTTTTATTGGTTCGTTATATTTTACTACTGATTTGTTGATACATGGAAAGAGAAATAGTATATCTTTTTTCGTTCTATAACAGATAAGTTCAAAAAATGTTTAGGGATTTAATAGCTTAAATTTCTTTAGGGATGGCAAAAAAAACCGAAACCGATGGTGAAAACCGAAACTTTCGGGCCGGGTTCAAAGACATCTTATCGGGGACGGGGCAGGAATCGGGGACAAATTCGGGGATTTTAACGGGGGATGGTGATCACCGGCCCGACCCAGCCCGATATATGTATATATATATATATATATATATATCTATATTATCTTATTAAGCAAATTTAGCAAAAGTCATAAAATTTTAAATGACCAAAATACCTTTTAAGTCACTTTTTTACTTTTTCACCCCTCCTCTCCTCACATACACTCACCTCCTCACATACACTCATCCTCTCACATTTTTTAAAATTATAATTTTAAATTTATACTTTATACCCCTATAATTAATTAATTAATTTACTTTACGTCCTTTACTTTTAAATATTTCATTTTAAACATTTATCAAATTAACATACATAATCGTATATCAATTAAAACATGTTTAAAAAATACATTTTTATTTTAACAAGTTACACCATTATAATCGTCTCGTTAATACCTTCGAAATGAGT